CACAACCTCGTGCCAACCCTAGTCTGCACTAGTTTGGAGAATAATTTTTGGGTCGAAACGACGTTGGATACCGACGTTGGCTAGAAGCCTAATTTAGTACAAACTGCAACGTTGTTTAAAATCTAAATTCACAGAAATACACAACTAATATGGCGTCTAAGTCGCGTTTTATCCTAAATTGGGATAATTATAGTAAAAATATTACTTTTATGATTTGGTTAGAGACATATGTCAGATGGCAGTGAAGGAAAACAAAACAAAAGTATTTAAGTGTGGAGGATGTTTGAAGATCATAATTATTGAAACACTTTAACCGACTCTGTAACTCGTTACCCAAGGCAAAAAAGTTAAACGCAAACAACTTTATTGATAAATATATTGTTTCTACTTTGAAAAATACTAATGGGCCTTAAAATTAAAGAAGTTTTAAAAATTTTCTTGAATTTTTTTTTTTTAGTAAAATGAGAATAATTTATTCGCAGTCGAAAAATTGTTTCCGCGTGTTTTTAGGGTCAAATATTTCAAGTTAATGTATTCAAAAAGCAGGAATTGCTATTTTCGGAACGAAACATTTTCTTATTTAACAACATGGCGGCTTTCACTTTGTTGTTTTGGAGATTAAGATGGAGTAGTTCGAGCAGTCGCATACTGGATTAATAAAGTCGCAGTTCGGCCTTAACAGGTAGTATACTAGTCGCAAGATTGCCTAATTTAGTCATCCTAGAGTCTAGCTTGTGCCGCCCTCTATAATATAAATAAACGAGGGAGTGGATAAACTATCGGTAATATATGTCGATGTATATTTGAATTTAGTTTTATATGTACCTTTCTTATGTCCCATTTTAATTAAGTTTTTTTTATAAAATCAAAAACAGCACTGAACTGTCTGACTGAACAGAACAATGAAGTGAAAATTTAAAATTTAAGGTTATGGTTCAATACAGTTGCAAAAGGGTAGTGACTCGACGTCCTACCAACGTAAGAATAAGGAAATCTAAACAACGTTGGAATTAGTAAAACAGACGACGTTTGCATAACGTTGGAATAGGTCCTGAAACTGACGTCGGAAAACTCTATATTGTCCAACGTTGTAACTACGTTGTCCGAATCACCTAAAGATCACTTAAGCAAAAAAGGTTACAAGACAACGTTTATTCGACGTCGCAGAAGCTTCCTACTTTGCTGTAGTACTAGTCCAACGTCGGCACAACGTTATAAAAACGTTTAAATTTATTTTAATACCCAAGGTAGGGAGCTAACTATTTTTTGTAACTAATCCAACGTTGTGATTAGTAAACATGTGGTCGCAAGTCGTGAAAATGCTACTTGGGTGGGATCCTGCTGCTGTGCCTAGAGGGGCCTAGGGCTTTTGTTTCTTAAAAAATGAAGAATAATATTGAAAAAAAAAACATTTTTTGAATAAAACGTTTACATGAATTTCTCTATCAACAAATTTCATTGACTTGCTTATCAAACCATCTTCCCGTGGATTACTGAAATAACTACAAATTTTCTAAAAAAAATAAAAGATATTTTTGCTGTTGTTAAAGTATCGCATTTTCCGATAACTATTATCACCATATCCGTACTTGTAGTCCATATTGAATTAAATAAATTTTGCGCTTTTTTAACCCTTTAAAAAAGCAGGAAATATGAATAAATAAATAAATAAATAAATGCTTTTATTGTCAAAAAACTTTTCAATTTGTAGACAAAGGTAAACTAACAAAGTAAAAAAAACAAGGTACACAAACAAACAAACAAAAGATAATACAAAACATTATACAAATAATATTGTCAGTCTTATTGTTAAAATAAACATTTATAAATGTTTATAATGTCAAAGAACAAAAAAATAAAAATAATATTCAAAAATATTTAGCTAGTTCATAGTAAAATATCAATGACCTCTAAATAAATTAATTTCGATGTCATTAGTAAATATAGCAATAGCAAACATTAGACCAGTGTTTACAAGATCAAATTTGATTTTCAAAATATAATTCATTTACGGCGTAGAAAGCCTTGTCTAGTAAATAAGAGTTCAATGCTTTGCGAAAAAAAAAATGATGTTATGGATTTGATTTCAAATGGCAGGTGATTGTGCATTTTTTTCGAGTTGTATAATATTGAACTTTTAACTAACTCTGAGCGTGGGGTAGGTAGATAAAGATCTTGCTCCACGTTCCTGAGTGGATAAGTGTGAGATGGCCTTTCTTGAGAAGCTGATACATGTTTACGTATTAGGCAAACGGATTCAACGAATATAAACAAGGAAGGAAGAGTCAATATTTTTAATTTTTTAAAAAAGTGCCGGCAATGAGTTCTGCTGTTTAATCCCAGTGAATATCGAACAGCTCTCTTCTGGAGCCTGAAAATGCGGTCAAATTGAGTCGCACAACACGTACCCCAGAATGGAAGGGCATACCTGAGGTGCGACTCAAAAAGTGCATAATAAACAGTTCTAGCCACTGACAAGTTAAGCTCCTTAGAAACAGACCTTAATGCAAAACAGGCAGAGCTCAATTTTTTCGACAAAGCTTCGATATGTATGTCCCATTTCAGAGAATTGTCCACAACAAGCTCTAAAAATTTTACAGATTTTACGACGTCAATGGTGGTGTTGTTAAGTACAAAAGGCTGCAACGAGTTTTTATACGACAAAGCTTTAGTTTTAGAAATGTTGAGACTCAGGAGGTTCGAATCGCACCAAGATTTAATGGTGATTAAGTCATTTGATATAATCCTATGAAGTGCCGTGATGTCCTTGTTGCTCCAAGTGAAGCTAGTGTCGTCCGCAAAAAGACATATTTTGCCACTGATGTTTATGTTAGCAATGTCGTTAATAAAAAGAAGAAACAAAATAGGGCTTAGTACTGAGCCTTGTGGTACTCCGCATTCTACTGGCTTGCTAGAAGACAACGTGGTATCCACCCTCACAAGTTGACTTCTGTTGCTCAGATACGACTTAAACCATTCGAGAGATGATCCCCTGAACCCATAGTGCTGCAGTTTATTAATTAAGATCTTATGATTTACTCAATCGAACGCCTTAGAAAAATCACAGAAAATTGTTGCTGTAGAATGATGGTTGTTTAGGCTGGAGTAAACTTTATTAAGGAGGGAAAACATAGCGTCATTTGTGGACTTGTTGCTTAGAAATCCAAATTGATATTCAGTAAGTATTTTGTACTTAACAGAAAAGATACCAGCCTTCTTTTAACCAACCTTTCTATGATCTTAGATAGCGTTGGAAGGAGTGCAATTGGGCGATAGTTAGAAGCTTCATCTTTGTCTCCTCCATTATGCAGAGGAATGATTATTGCCGTCTTAAGACATTTTGGAAAAATACCATTTTGGAACGACATGTTTATATTAAAGTCGTTAGGTGATTCAGAGTGCTTTCTGGCAGATTCGAAAACATTTTTAAAGTTAGCCCGTCGGTCCCACAAGAGGAGTTATTTTTGATGGTATTAATTGTACTGCGAAGCTCTTCTAAAACTACGGGCGAAAAAAAGAAACCGTGTAAGTTTACAATATCATTAGATAGATAAGAAAGTGGATCATAAGGAGGACATATGGTATTAGTTAAGTTTTTCGCTACATTTACAAAGTAATCGTATGCTGTATGGCGTTAATTAATATTAGTTAGTTAATTAAATTCTAATTTTCTCTAAAACAGTATGCAAATTTGAAAAAGTATAAATGGAATTAATCATTTTAGAACAAGCCAAAATTTTAATAAGGAATGTATTTTTCTCAAAATCTCAATAATAGAAAAGTGTTTTCTTTTATAAAGACAATCCAAGGACACATTGTAGATCCTGAGCATCCTACATCCTACTGAGCATCCACCATAGATAGAAGAAACAAGTTAGATTGGAAAGTGCCCATAAGGAAAATATAAATACTATTTGGCGCTATTCTTACAACGGTGGCTCTCCAAAGCTTTTGATAATTTCGGAGCGATTCGGCTTTTTCCGGAATTATGTCGCCAAATATTGTTTATTCAAATTTCTATTGTTTTCTTTTAATTTTTTAAATAAAATACAGTGTATTGCATATAAGAAACTTTATTTTATATAAGAACTTGATGTATGAAATTGGAAACCAGTTCACGCAGCTTTTTAGTTTTTAATGCGACTTTTTCACAATTATGACGGGTTTGAGTAAATAAAATTTAAATTAAACTCACAAAATAGCAACAGTTACTTTGAAAATGGACGCTTTAAACACTTTTTAGTATTTTTTCAATAAGGGCTGTTTAAATTTTGAAAGATTTTATAATTTTTGGAGATTCTGACTTTGACAAGAGAAAATTATTTCTGTTCTTGTTTGGCGGTTATTCTAAGAAACTACTATAGCAGCGCCCTACAACGTATGGGCTTCAAAACAATTAATTATAAGTTATGGCGGCAAGCCGAGCATTCCAATCTAAACTTGTTTTCCTTTATCTATGGCATCCACTACATGAACAGTCATTTTTGGACCGTAACATACATATATTATAACAATTATATAAAATTATAATTATAAAGCGATTTTGTTACATATCAGCCCATCTCTAGTTGAAGCCGAAGACTTTTGCCATCTGACCTTCTGTTGAACGATTGCGACGAATGTATCTGACAAGGTCGATCGCGTTTTCTTGGGTTATTTAGCAAGCGAAATAGGTAAAGTGACACTTGACGCAAATTGGATTTACATGCTATCGCTTTATTTCCATATTAGTTTACACATTGCATATCGTGGCTTGATTGGATATCAATCAATTTCCAATCAAGATTTCAATTGAAATCAGAAAGAAGAATTAGAAACAATAACTTAGGGTAATCGCAAAGCAATTTCCGATGCACGTGATCAACATTGAGTGCCAAGCCATGCTCTATAAAGTAAAATGAAGAGCTGCTCGGTATCATAAATTATGCAACATTGCTTTATAAGACGTAAATATTTATTACTTAATTTTTTTCTCCTACTATGTATTTTCTTCTCAACAGGTTGTATCCAGAATATCAACAACAGTTTGCCAATGATATTCAGCACGATCTTACCTTTAACGTGAGGGAAGGCTATGAGGCGGAGGTATGTACGAAAAAAAATCATATTTTCGCAAGAAATTGTATTACATGTTGAAATGTCGAAAAATCTTTATCCCCAATTTGCTTTCCTCTGGTTTTCCATAGGAAGACCGAAAAAAGAATAAGGAACTAGAAAAATTGGCTATTGCCAGAAAAAAAAATTGATTTAAATATATTCAATTTTTTCGGTAGGATTTTTTTTGTAGATTCTTCAGGGAATATGTTTTTAAAGTGAGAATATTGTCAGAAACTAAAATAAGAAATAAAAAATGTTGAAATATTTTTTTTCCATAGCAACTGTTAAAATTGCTTTATATCTATCCAAAATAGTAGATAAAATAGTACTTTAACCGCAAGGGTAGATTAAATGATACTTTACCAGCGAGGATAGGTTAAAAACTTTATTTCTTCTCGCACGTTTTTGAATTGCTTCCATTTTTGAAAATTTTTGTATTCCTTTTCATAAGTTATTCGGGATTTACATGGAAGTAGTTTGGATATGGCGTTTGTCGCCTCAGCCTGAATATCTGTTGGTAATTTACTTATTTCGTTTTGAGCCATTTCTGGCTCCAATTCAATCAGCAATCGACACGAAAGAGAATTAAAAAATATTGACTCAAAACTGACAACTAAAGAGAGCTTTATTTATTTGTCAATTTACATAGAAACCAACGCCAACCCAGCACAATATTTTTTTTACTCGTAATAAATTCCTTGAAATAATAATTTCTGAATATTTTTTAAAGCGTTTTCATAGCCGAGTTGGCTATGGAAAAAAACATTGTTTTATACACGACAATAAAATTACATTATCGTCTTCCGAAATTAATTCACTCGAGTCATTCATTCAAATATACCATTTTATCGTCTTGTATAAAAAATAACTATTTGTATTTATAATAATATCTTGCCTTAAATATTATTCATATTTATAGGCGGAATCTGAAGGTAACGGTGTACCAACTCTCACGCTTCCCAGCATCAGCGAGGACGACGAAAACGCTCACGAGGAAGCGGCAACGTCGCCAGGTGCCTCACCTAATCGCTCACCGGTTCACACCATGTCCAACAGCCCTCGACATGCCAAATTTAACTTAAGGTGATAAGCGTAATTAACACCCTTATAATTCCCTTGATACATAAATAATTATAATATTTAAATTTCCCTCCAATTTTTCTCCACAGATTACAAGAAATCCACGACAGTATTCCGCCGAGACGTCACAGGTTAGGCGGTGTTGCCACCAATCACTTGGCGATGTTGAGGGAGAGAGTGGAACGGCAACGCAGCGTAATAGTGCCTCATTCCAAGTATAGTTCGTACGAAGAGCTAGAAACCAAGACGGAGATGGAGTGTGGAAATAAGGATAGTGTGGAGAGGCTGGATAGTCAGATATCTTCGTTGCATCAAGATGTGGCGGCACTTAGTATAGAAGTAAGTATAAATAGTAGGATTTTTCTCATTAAAAAAACAGTAATGTGTAATTCAGGGCGTATTCCGTTGCTTGGTTATGGTTTTATGTTCCGTTTCTATCGGTTTCCTAAAAGTTTTCTTATTTCGGAACACGGTTCCTGAAAAATTCGGTTATATAACTGTCACCAAACTAACCGGCTCGTGAAGGCTGTTTTTTCTGGTTTTGTTTGTCAATCAATGTCATTTATGTGAGAGAAATAAAGCAAATATTGGAAGTTCCAGTGAAATTCTCATTTAATTTCTAAAATTTGTAATATTTTGTATTTATATCCAAAAGCAATGGAGGTAGGCAGTAAAGGTAAATAAATTTCATTACATAAATAGAATGACTTTTTAGGACCATTTAAATTTATCATGCAGCCATTGTTTCTTAAAGTCAGGAACATTTAAAGAAAATATGAAAAACAAGACAACAAGTAATCATGAATGTTTTGTAAGCCATAAAAATATAAATATTGATTAGATTTGTTTATTTATAATTGATATGTTTTAATATTGGACCTGCAAATCTTCACTTGAGCTGTCTAACGAGTTTAACAGTTTATTAATAAAGTACTTTTCAGTATTAAACTTCATTGAAAAGAAGATGCAAACGTAATAGCAGAGAATAGGTACATTAAAAATGCATAAAAGATAAATTTTATAATAGAGTTATTGTTATTTAGAAACCGTCAACATTTGACGTTTCTAGTATTCTACCAAACCGATGTTTTACAGGAACCGCTCTTTACCATAGTTTACCGGTTTGGTTCGCCTGGTTTTGCAACGGAATACAGCCTAAGTAGAGATGAGGCAAGTCATTGATTCTGATTAATTAGTGGTTTTAAAATTTTATTTCAATTAAAATCCAAAAATGCAGATTTAAGATGAAAATATTTAACTTCCAGGTACGCAACGCCATCCAGGCTCTTCAAGAAATGGCCACACCCTCCTCTGGACACGGTTCGGTCCACTACTCAGCTCATTCCAACCCCAACATAGCCGATTTCAGGCATTCCTCCTCCATGCTGGCCAGAAGCAACTCCCATCCCCCCGAAATGTTCTGCTGGGACGGTCCACCACCATCCCCCAGACCCATCATCTCCATCACAGTGGCTGACAAGGAGACCCAGACGGAAAACGAAGAGATTTTGAGGAAATTCGTCCTGGAAAACCCGAAAGTCATCCTGGAAATCCTCGGCCTGGACTCGGAAAAGGTCCTGAACAAGGTCAACTTGAAGAAGAGTCATAGTAACCCGGACTATACGTGTAAGACTGACAGTTGTGTGGCTAAACAAGACTGTAGTATAATTGTGGATGAGGACAGTGAAAGTGAACAGGAGAGTACGCCATTTTTGTGGAGCCAACAGGGTAGTAATGGTAAGAGGGTGCAGATTTTCGAGAACTTGAACTTGAACAGAGGTCAGGGGATGTTAAAGTATCGAAAAAGTATAGATAGCTAAATGTATGGTGATTGTAGATTAGTTTTTTACTTCTTATAATATACTAAGATGAGTTTTTCTATTGATTGAGATCCTGTTTATGTCTTAATGGAACAGTTAATCTGTTAAAAATATATTAAGAAATATTTTAAAAACCACACAAAAAAGACACCAAAGGTATAAAAATTGGGAATAAACTAAATAATACTTATTCTATAGAATGTCTAGTCATCGTTCAACGTCCCGTCGTATATTATCGAACTCTCTCAATCACTTGCCAACCAGATGAAAGAGATTGGTGACGTCATTACGGCATTTCGTAAATTACTGCATATTCTTATTAGTATATGTCATTTGATTTGGGGTTATAATTTTATTTACGGACATCGATCAATGTCAAAATTAAAATTTGATTGTTGCTGTGAAACAATTGTTATTATTACAATTTTTTTTTAAAGAGACACTGGTAGAACACTCTTGTCTGTGGACGCCGTATATGAAGTAAATACAATACAATTGTGCTTAAAACTGCATTATACAAATAGTTGGTGAATGCACACTGCATTCCAATTTAAACTAAATATATACCAAAAGCGTACTTTTCAGACTTTTTGAGAAACTCTACAACGGAAATATTTCGTCTAGCAATTAGAGTCGCTCTAATAAACAATATTAAATTTAAAATGAAGTATCGAAAGAACTCCTACTACGTTCAAAGTTAGTTTTACCGTTTGAAGGAGTTCATTTGAAAGAAAAACTTTCAGTTAGTTTCGATTTGAAAGCATGGGCAGAAGTTTTAAGCCGTAGAATTTTGTTATTTTTAATTATACGGAGTTTTTAAAAGAAAAGTTTTTTTTTCAAGTCAAGCTAAAATGGATTTTGCAGTAAAATAATATTATAAGTATCTAAAGTTCTTAATTTTTTCAAATGGAATTGTGTCTATTTCGTATTCAGTTGTATTATGATTATTTTTAAAAGTGCCATAATAATATACCGAGGGTTTTAAATATGATCATTTTTAGATTAAATTTAAAACCCTATACAGGGTGGCGCCCCTCATACGCCGCGGAGCGGAGGCTCCAAGGAGAACGACAGTTTGTACTGAAATGAGATTTCGTGAGCATAATTATGTAGGTTAATTCAGAGCACTTTTTAAAAATATAGAGTTCTACAGGGTGCCCTCCAAAAGAGTTACATATCAAAGTTGTGTTTTTTGTAATGGAACATCGATTTTCAGATTTTGGGAGAAAAATAAAGGTGAGTTTTCCCCACGTAAGGTAAGTTTATTCCCAACCAAACACCCGATAGATTTATTGTTTAACATTGTAACTGTACATGAAGACATAAACAGAGCATTTTGGTTTTAATTTTAATCTGTAAAAATATGAAACCCGTCCCTGTGCCACTACTCTCTTTTTAAACAAATTAAAAAAAACTTTAAATAAAACAGAACTAAAAAATGTATACCTCTAAATATTCAGTTGTATCGATATTAAACTTTTTAAATCCAATAAATTAAAAAATAGATATATTAAGTCAATATAATGATAAAATGATAAAATACTAAACTGGACCGAGTGGGGTAATATTAGTTAAAAAGTCAATATATTTTAATCATATCGTGTAAATTTTGATGTGTTTTGTTAAGCTTTTGAGAATGAAATGGCTATTTGATAGTATTTTCCTATACTGAAATAGGATGAAATAAATTTATTTATCCAACAACTACTTCTTATACATTACTCACATGTATACATGCATATAAAATAAATAATAACACACGCGTGAGTTTTTGAAGTTACAACAAACTAGTGAGTTATGAATTCCCTATCATATACGCCACGCAGGGGTGGATGGGCCATATGGGAAAACGGGAAAATTCCCGGTGGGCCGGTGGGCCGGTCCCGATCAGAGCTCAAAAAAGATTGTATTAGCAATTGTTTTTAAACATAAACACCAATTTGTAAAATAACTATTATAAAATGTCTTTCTCTGGGAGACCTATAATTTTAATAATCATCTGTTGTTTGTTCGGTTTGAAAATTTTTATTATACAAGATGAGTCTATAAGTGCAAATATTTGCAGGGCTGGTAGATCTTAATAAAATAAACATAATATATTCTCTTTATCGAGTTTCAAATAAGTCTAATCGAGTTATTAAAGTTTGGAAATTGAAAAAAATAGATTTATTTTTAAAAAAATTTAAGCCACCTCAGTTTTCCGGTATTTGCATCTCTTTTAGTGCCGTAATATCAGAGATTAAGAAACTACACCGTGGGAAAATTTGCGGTGAACAGGAAGTTCTTAAAAGTTTTCTAAAATATACAGGAAAATTTAAAAGAAAATGCTCGCTTTTTAACATCTTTTTTTGTAAAAAAAAACTCATAGACGAGTTCCTGGGGTCGAAATATATACCACCCCTGAAAATATTTGCACTTATATGACTCACCCTGTATAGTTTTGCCAACTATTCTTTTATTAATATCTAGACTGGCAGCAAAAAAAAAGAATGAATAGCATTAGGTAAATTTAAATATACTCTGTTTTTTTTCTCAGGTAAGATTTCGACAGACGATGACAGAAGAAAAGCATACGTGTTTATTGCTATCTTTCTTTATTACGTGTGCTTTATATGAAAAAGAAAGAGACAGGTATAAAACGTATCGTAAGACATTATCGCACATTCTGGCTGGGGGGAAATTTAAATTAGCCATTATTAGTAGTATTATTTCATTCTGAAAGTGAAAATTTTCACTTAAACTGATTTATTCCCTATACCACGTAAAGGGAACGTGGTGTAGGAAATAAATCAGTTTAAGTGAAAATTTGCAGTTTCTTTCAGAACGAAAGAATACTACTATTATAAGGGAAATTATAAAAAAAAGCAAAAATTGTACTGTTTTATAAACATAGTTATTTATACAAAAAATTAATAAACTCTATATAATATAATAACAAAAAATAACAGTGCTTATTCCACCCACCTACCAATTTTAAATGCAGAAGAACTGACTGTTGCAGGAAACGATCGGCCAATTTTTTTAAAGGGCATTAAAAATCTCATTTTCGAAAAAACTGCCTAATTGCAATAACAAAGTGAATATCCAAGCAAAGAAGACTTTACGAGAATAATGATCCTGAACCATTTTCAAGTCCAGTTTTAATCCTAAAACAAAAGTAAAATAGGTATATTAATAAAGTTTCTGGTTACTATAAACCAGCTATAAACTACCTACCCAAAAAATGAAAAAAAAATAATTGTATTAATTTGTTATGTTAAGAGAGGTTCGAAATATTTTTGACACTATTACTTCTACTTTTTTCTTAATAAGATGATAAATATAACTCTATAAATCTCGGTCTATTCATTAGACAGCCAGACGACTTACGATCATTTACATGAAACTCTGTAAAATAAATTGTAAAATATATATATTCTTATGTTTTATTAAAGTTACTCTAATATACTATTGTAATATATCAGTGTAACTTTAAAAATAAATCCTTTGAATTCAAACATAAACAGAAAAAACATTTACAGCAGAAAAGGCGAAGGCGCTGGATTAAACGTAGTCTCCACTAAAAACACGGAGGGGCGCTTTGACCCAAAATTTTACTGTTAAGTTTCATATCTATCTTAATAGTAGATTATTTTCTTTTATCTATGGATATAAGGCAATTTTAACAGTTGCTATGGAAAAAATAAAAAAAAATCAATTTTCTTTGCTTCATAATAAAGCCGTCTTCTCTATAAAGATAATAAATTCTCTACGCGTATTTTTCTCATATTTACAGCGTTGTAAAGCATCATCCTTCATCTGTCTCTATATATTATTTTACCTTTGCGGCAATACGATGCCTTCAGCGTATTCCCAAAAGATTTACTCCCATACATCTCCGATGCCGTATCGACTCACATCCTCAAAATAAATTGAAAACATTCTTTCGGCCTCAATTTTCAGCTGCACGCCATGCTCAATATTGTATGAATATTCGTTGCATGCAAATGTTCGTTTTGGAAGGTCTTAAGCGTTTTGAAAATTCGAATAAAAACCCAGGTCCGTCTTAAGCGAGTGTGTAGCCGAAGGAAATATATATTATATTTCAGAAATCTGCAGCCCGATCCTTTCGTGTCAAGCCACATCTAAAATTCCAAACGCACTTGCTTTCATTAAGGCTTGATTAAGGTTTGAAGAGCTTCAGCATTTGCCATAAAATAGCGAGCAATTTGTTACAAAACCATATAAATTATACATCACTGTAATCACAAAACTTCAATCTACTTCCGTATTGTAACGGAATTTTAAATTATATTTTTATTTTGGAGAAAATTTAGTCCAAACATAAGGAATATTTTCTTGATGTTTGACCATCAAAATCTTAAAAATAAGGAAGTTGTCTAAAATGTGCTACAATATGGATATAGTATAATCCTTTATCTTTAATTTCCTTCTTCATTTGTATAAAAATACCTAGCCAGTTTTACATAGAACCAAAGAATATACCTAGCTAGAAAAAGAATGGACTCTGCCATACTGAAAAATGGTCCTACAGCAGTGGCGCCATCTATTGAGTAGGGCTTGTTTTAAATAGATCGAAGCGCGGGCTTTTTAAATGAGCCTATTTACTGAATAATTTTACTCTAAAATAATTAAATTTGATTATTAAATATTATTTTTTACACAAATTCAACAATACTAATAACAAGTATCGTTGTGATGTGTAAAAAATAAGATTTAACAGTATAATATATACAATTATTAGATAAAATTAAAGCCAAACATGTGAAATATTATTTATTATTTAAAATTTTTATTTATAAGTCAAATATTTAAATATCGTTTATTATAATAAAACAAGACCGACGTAATACGCCCAAAGTTTTGTAAATGGAGTAAATATAAATAGGTACTTAAATGATGGCAAAAATAAAAGACTTACATTATATTTTTAGGGCCAGAAACAAAAGGAATTGTCTAATTAAAACACATATAACAAATTATAGTTTGAAAAACGTTTTAATAATCATTTATTTGATAATATTATGATTGGCGCTATGACAACGACAATATTTTTTGAGAATTTGACAATAATATGACAATGGCCGTTGGAAACTATGGAAACTACAAAAAAATTCTGATGTACCGCCATCTGGCAATAACTAGTAGCAACTTCTTAACCTAAACATTAATTGCACTACCACCTAGTGGCTAGGGCTGGAACTATTTTATTTGAGATTTCCGTGGAAACGGTGGAACCGCTTTTGCTA